CTACCCCTGTGCGCTGAAAAATAAACAGATGAAGAAGGATAATATATTAAAACACAGTTGCGATCATAAATGTGCACTTATAAATATAGTTATTATTATAATTATTAGTATCATTATTTCAGTAATTATTTTCATATTAGCACATATCTACTGTCAGAAGTATAACCACTCACCTCTTCTTATCTTACCTGCCCAGGTATGGAGTCTGCTGGTATCCATGAGACTGCCTACAACAGCATCATGAAGTGCGACATTGATATCCGTAAGGACCTGTACGCTAACAACGTGCTGTCCGGCGGTACCACCATGTACCCTGGTATTGCTGACCGTATGCAGAAGGAGATCACCGCCCTGGCCCCCAGCACCATGAAGATCAAGGTGAGCCCTCACTCACCAGCACTGACCGGTTAAATCCATTTAAATATGTTGTAAAATGTTCTCGTACCAACCTGTGCCTCTGCTCCTCCTCTCCCTTTTCTCCAGATCATCGCTCCCCCCGAGAGGAAATACTCCGTCTGGATCGGCGGCTCCATCCTGGCCTCTCTGTCCACCTTCCAGCAGATGTGGATCAGCAAGCAGGAGTACGACGAGGCTGGCCCCTCCATCGTCCACAGGAAGTGCTTCTAAATCTCCAACCCGCAACACAAACCCACACAACAACCACACCAGCTCTCCCTCCATATCTCTATTTCTACTGTACCTTTTGCTGTATATACATGTACTGTTGTAATAAAAATAGTTGCTTTTAACAGTAATCTGGAGTGTTGGAGTCTGTGTCAGTGTACAGGTAGCAAGCACTGAATGAGCATGCCCTCATAGGCTCAGCATGTTATTAGGCCATGGCTGCACTATAAGTAAAAGGGTGGTCATACTTCTACATCCAATATGAAATCTGAACCAAACTGTTTGAATGCACTTTATACAAAACTGAGTCATCTGCTGAACACAAATCATTCACCTTCTCCTTTCTTTTGTGTGGATTAAACAAACGACAAAACAAAAGATATAATGTAGACTTAAGAGATGCATATACATGCACTGTTTCCAGTCTTTGTGCTCAGTTAAGCTTTATACTGTATCAACCACACACATATGAAAGTGGTATCAATCTTCTCATCGAATGCCCAGCAAGAAAACCAATAAGCATATTTCCCCAAATATAGAACTGCTATATAAGGTTTAATCTCTCCCTAATACCAGAGATTAAGAAATAGAAAAATATATTTCTACCAAACAATAGTGCATGTTTTGCCAGCAATTCTAAATGATAGTATCATGAAATCAGGTGATGGAATTAAATCTTAATTAAAGGGTCAAAATCTTCAGAAGCACTTAGAGTATTAAGAACAATTTGACCTTGTTCCTAATACGACGTGTGTTGCTGGAGTTTTGCTGTTTGGTGTGTTTTTGGTGTGGATTAAAGGCTAAATTGAAAAGAAAATGGTGTGCTTATAGTTTTTAGGATGGATATAGTGGACATGATCTCACAGTAAGTGGCAGCTATTAACAGGCTTTTTTGCAAAGGTCAAACAGAGTGATGCCAGTAATTAGCAAAATCGGAGATATTGATGTTATGCCACCTGAGGCGAGCTGAAAGCTCGTTATCTACCACCTTCCCCGTGTCACCTGAATGCACCACTTTTCCCTCAGAACTCACTTCCTGTGCCTCAGGTGATACGGATGAGCATAATGAAGTCCGCCTCCTTCATTCATCAGGGAGTCTAACAGATTATGTTGTCAGTGAAAGGCTGTTGAACTACGTCGTTTTTAAATCATGAAGGCCACAGACAGTAATGTGATTCGGTTTCACCTTCAAGTCCTTTATGGGATAACTGCAAAGAGCTTAGAGAAGAAAAAGGAGAGACTGTTCATCGGTGGTGCCAAGATCTTTGGTGTGCCTCTGGAAAATTTAGCCAGGCAATACATCCCTGAGTTTGGACTTGTACCCTGGTGAGTGGAACCAACAAGTCTGGAAAACTTTTAAAATGATTTAGGACAAAAAGTCAGAGATAAACCGTTGTTTTGAATTTTGTTTTTGTCTCAGTTTCTTGGTGGATGCTTGCTCATTTCTTCTGGAGCGTGCTGGGACTGTGGGCCTGTTCAGAAAACCAGGCTCTCTTCCTCGCATTAAGACCCTGAGGGTAACTTGACCTTTTTTGTTAAGTTATTCTAATATAATCTCTACTCAGGGTTTGAACAAATACACTCAGCTGTCAGTTTATTAGGTACATCTTGCTAAAACAGCTGCAGCCAAATACAACATTCCTGCAATAAATCCTGAGATTATAATGTTCAGTTTTTGTTGAAACTGTTTTAGAAAGGTGTTTTGTCAACCTCCTTTATTTCAAATACAATCTGGCCATCTATGAATTACTGTGTGTCTGTTTCAGGCCAAGCTGAACAGTGGAGAGGGTTGTCTGTCCATAGCCCTCCCCTACGATGTGGCCACTCTCATCAAACAGTTTTGCAGGGAGCTGCCGGAGCCGTTGTTTCCCTCTGAGCTCCATGCAGCTCTGCTCAAGGCCCAGGCACTGTCCAACGTGCAGGACAGGACATCAGCCCTGCAGCTGCTGTCCTGTCTGTTACCTGCCAGAAACTCCTCCTGTCTGCACTACCTGTTCAACTTCCTCTCCAAAATTTCCCAGAGGTATGAACATGGGATCATTAAAGCCTAATACGGAAAGAGATTAAAGTATCTAGTATTTTTGCAAGAAAAATAAAAAGCAAAAATTGAAAAAAATCTGAAAAATAATCTGAAATATCCCTTAAATCATTTTTGGACTCCTCAGATTTCTCTTGACACCCCTTCATGGGGGGTCATGACCCCACACTGGGTACCGCTGGTCTACAATAGCAAGTTTGCCTTGAAATTATGGGCTATTTCCACTATTTTTCATTTCTCTTTCTCTGTTAAAGTGTTGGATCTTCTTCAGCCAGGGTTCTACAGATTTTCCAGACATGAGTAGATACCAATGATTTCACGTGTTCTTCTCCTCATTCGATGTACCGCTGTCAGATGTTCAGAAAACCTGATGACCAGCTCCAACCTCGCTACAGTCTTTGCTCCGTGTCTTTTACCTCCTCCTAACAAGACTGAGATGTCTGAGGGCAGACTTGAACTCCGAGTTCTCGTCCTGCGCACCTTCATTGAAAATCCTAATTTATTCGGTAATAAGCCAGTCATTCTGTGTTGACCCTGTACTCTAATTAAATGTATTTGTGTGAACAGGATATCTGTTATGACCTTCACTGTATTTACCAGGTGTGATTCCCAAGGCTGTAATGGACAGTATGGAGTTTCTGATGAACTTCAATTTTCAGAAAAAGGGACACAGAAAAAGACACAGTTTCAAAGGTAATTCATCGCACTTGGTCAAAGTGGACTGCTTCTGTAATCACTAAAATTCAAAATGGAACTGTGTCCACCTCATGTGTGCTCTTTATTTTCTCACACATGCAGTGATTCGGCCTGTGAAGACGGTGCCCTGGATTCAGGGGAGGTCAAAGGTCACGCCTGGTGTCTCTGAGCAGAGCCAGGAGTCCACATCAGGACGCAGACCAACCCTCAGGAGAAGCCTCGGTTTGGAGACTTTCCCCAGTGTCCTGCTGTTTAGGACGTGTGCGCCTTGTGCAGGTGAATCTAATACGAAGAAAGAAACGGTTTGTAACGGGCAGGACATTTTACATGAAACATGGTTCCAAATATTGATATTAAATTCATATAATTTACAGAACAAGACTTCAAACCTGAAACAGATTACTTGGATGGCTCCAGTCCCCTTGGCAAAGAGGCATGCAAGACACCACAAGAAAGACAAAGAAGGTAAATTATAAGCTTATGGAATCAATTTCAGATTACTTTGTGGTAGGCCTATGGCAATAAATTAACACACACCATCTGATCCATCCTTTTTTGTTTGCAGAGATCTGCATTTGGGATTTTTCCCCAGACTGACCAGGGGGCAAGATGCAGACAGCTCGCCTGTGCTCACTGGTGTGGGGAAACTGCAGCTCACGCCCTGGAGAAGACGATCTTTACTCTGACATATAAAGTATTAAGAAGTAGCCATGTCAGCGGCTTCACATTCATTCAGTATTTTAGGTTATGATCTCTAATGGACAAGTTTTATATTCAGACGGTGGCTTAGAGTGTTTCGTCTTCGATCGGATCACCAAAGTTGTATTTTAGCATTCTACATTTTACTATATTTGACTATTTATTTCACAACATGCCATTGTTTGGCTAAAGATGCGCCATAGTTTTATATCAAGTGAATAAATACTTCAACTTTTTCTCAAGCGTATCTCTTACCTGTGCATGTTAAACATACTGTAGGTCAGTAGGTAAACTGTGCCGTGTCTCTCATCAGTTTATCTTTAATGGAAACCAAAGATCCAAACTCAAAATGCCAGGAATAGATTATATATTAGTAGCCTACTTTTTAAAATGCATATGGAGAATTAAGAACAAACAGCCAACGGCTTCTTTGCATAATGAGTAGCTAAACACCGAGATGCCCTTGAAGGTAGTTGAAGATAATCACAGAGAAGTTGTTCTTGTCTGAAACAGATTTATAACAAAAACAAAGTGTTTTGATGGTGTCTGATGCTGGGACTTCCTCCTAGTCGTGCAGTGCTGCTGTGTGGGCTGAACAAGCAACTGACACTGGAGCCAATGATAGGAGGTTTCCTAGCAACTGCATCTGAACCGTGAAGCAAGACTAATAGCGTTTTCTAACAAGGTTGCATAATGACATCAATAACACCGGAAACTCAGTAATATCCTTCAAAATAAAGTCATAAAAATGTCTCATAGAAGCAAATATTTTTTAAACAAGAAAATACATTGATGACAATTTGAATAATAATGCTGAATTAAGGTGGGTCGGGTTTAATTTGGTTGTGAAGTGGAGTGAAATTAAGTTTTAAGTCGTTTTTCATTGTTTGTGAAGTTTTTATTTATCTACATTTTTATTTTGGAAACCGGAAATGGGCCGTATGTCCAGCTTGATAGGGTCTTGATAGGGTCTCGTGCAAACGGCAGGTCCCTCCATCATCACGGTAAGAACAAATAAACAAATCTCTATTTTGATCACTTGTGAAGTTTACGAGGAATGAAATCAAGTATATCATCAAATAAATGTCTTTAAACGCAGCTTTTATAGTGAACTATGGTGTTTTCACTGTTTGATAGATAGACCATGTAGGCTATTTATAGACTGTTTCCATCAGCATTAATGGCTCTGTTTACAGAGCAAGTGTCGCACCAAGGCTTTATTCAGTTTACAGACAATAGGCTGCCGTTTATGGTTTCTATTAACCATAATGACAGATAGTATAAGAACCACCCTTTCCATTTATATTGTCTAATTATCCTGTCATGTGTCTAACAGTAAAAATGCAGCTGTGTTTGCACATGATCACACGCCTGTCCATCTTCTGCACGGTACGGTCTGATGTGTGTTTTTCTCCCCGCAGATGACACAAATGGCTTCGTCGGTGCGGTTATCGTTGCTCGGCCTCCTCTTGTGGCTGCAGCTCGGCAGAGCTCCGGCCCGCAGCCCCCGCACGGCGGACCAGGTGTCCGAGGCCGACATCCAGCGTCTCCTACACGGTGTGATGGAACAGCTGGGCATCGCTCGGCCCAGGGTGGAGTATCCCGCACATCAGGCCACCAACATCGTCGGGCCTCAGAGCATACAGGGTGAGTTGGGATGGATTTATAATGAAGTATAGAGTCTAGTAAAGTATATTTTCAAAGCAACAGAAATTCTTCTTCTTATTTTATGCCTTTTTCCCTCCTTTGAACTCTCTGACTCTATGACGCTCTGAAACACTGATATGATAGGGAAGTAAGTAATGAGCTTATTGTTATTAGGGATGTGCCTATTCCATGTCTTTTATTTATTGCTGCTGATTTATTATTTATTAGTTGTTTTGTGCTTTTTTCTATTACGTCATGTTGTGTTGAACCTAAAATGGGTTTAAAATGTGCAGTATGTGGCTCTTTTAATTACATTTCAGCACAGTGTTCTTATATTTTCTAGACCCCCCACATCCTACCTGAGTTAACGTTTTTCAACACAAATTAAAATGTTGATTTCAAGTAATATCAATATAATTACTTATCAATCATTATAGAGATACTGCTCTACATCTTCTTTAGATCAAGTTTAATCCTGTGCTGAACCAACTCATAAAATGGTATATATGTGAAATGCTTTTGGAAAATAGGTAGGCTACATGATGCCTGCTAATGTAGCTGATGGTGCAGTTGTATTTGTGGTGATTGTAGAGTTTGTTTTCTTCCACAAGGTGGTGCTCATGAGGGGCTGCAGCACCTCGGCCCTTATGGAAACATCCCAAACATTGTGGCTGAGTTGACGGGCGATAATGTTCCCAAAGACTTCAGTGATGACCACGGATACCCAGACCCTCCAAACCCCTGTCCCCTGGGAAAGACAGGTGGAAAGTCTTTTTTATTTTAACATACTAGCATCTGTAAAACCAGCAGGATAAAGTGAATTACTTCCAGCATACCTGCTACTTTGAAACTGAAATAGGGGCAAATGTTGCTATTAATGCTGGCACAGTTGCATTTCTGTCTGTTTGCTTTTTTTATTGTATTTATTTACACTATGAACATTTAAGATGATGGATCCTCTATGCGTTCCGTCTGTGCCTTCTCACGTTTTACAGTAGCAGACGGGTGTTTGGAAAACGCTCCGGACACGGCCGAGTTCAGCAGAGAGTTTCAGAAACACCAGCACCTCTTTGACCCAGAGCATGACTACCCAGCCCTGGCGAAGTGGGTGAGTACAGAGTAGGACTGCCTCAAAAAGCAGCACATCCTCATATTTTAAAAGTTGGAACTTGCAAATGTTTAAATGGTTGACTGATTATCAAATGCACAAATACCTCATTAACACAGAGTTGTCCAGTTTTCCTTCACCTGCAAATTAAGTACGCTTGCTTTTACTCTCTGGAATACCTGAGACACCATTTCAGGCGCACATGTACCAGTTAAAACACGTACAGCAAGACTCCTACAGCATCAATATCACTTCATTTGGCGGATGTTTTTGTCTAAAGCAACTTACTTGCTTAAAGATGAAATTAAGACAAACTTGCATCTTGGAAACTTTGGCCCGAAGTCACCCCTTTGAGAATTTTTATTCCTTTAAGAGGCAATTTCAAGCAATTTGAATATAATTTAGGAACAAAGAGAGTGGCTGTAAAACAGATACACGATTTTATGTCTGTAAACTTTTGTTTTTCTGTATTTCCTCTCAGAACAAGGAGCTTTTGTACCAAAAACTGAAGGGAGGACCGAAGAGAAGAAAAAGGGTATAGTGTTTCATGGTTGTCTTTTTCATTTTTGCTGTGTAGGATTAAGTCTTAGAAACCACATCACCAGCACTGATGTTTACCCCCTGAAGAGACTGATGTCCTCTTAAACTCACTGATCTAGATGTGAAGTGATATTTTCTGAACAAGCTAAGAATCTCACTGAGGATTTCTTCAGTTAAGACGTTTCTCTCTCACTGTTTTCCCTCAGATTTTGTTCTGTTTGTCTTCATGTTTACACTCATATTTCTGTCTCCACCCGTCTGCAGAGTGTCAACCCATATTTAATGGGCCAGAGGCTGGACAATGTGGTCGCCAAGAAATCTGTTCCTCACTTCTCTGAGGAAGAGGAGGAGGAAGAAGCACCGACCGTCTCTGCTGCCACCAAATCCACAACCTGAACTCCTGCACCTGCAACACTCACTGTAATATTAAACTATACTCTCAGATAAAAGTTTTTAACACCACATATTTGAGCATTTTTGGTTGACAAGCAATGGAAAAGAGACTTCACCACAGGTACTGTGAAATAAGAAATGGTAAAGTAGAGAAAAGGTGGGCAATATGAAATGTTTTTATGATATTGCTAAGATATTAATTAACCCAGATCTTATTCACTAATTTGCACAACATATTGTATCGCTGTCCTTAATTTTTAACAAATAGGCATTACAATGCAAGACCCATGGAAACAAAATTTGTGGGTTTTGTTGAAACAGTGACACCCAGCTGTCATCTTGCAAAGCTCGATTACCAACCAGGCAAAGTGGACAACTGCCCTGTGTGCCCCAAGAGCCCCAAGAGCCCCAAGAGCCCCTGGCCAGATCAAACTTTGCACTACTGAAGTTCAACATCAGCCACTGTGACAGTCCTCCATCTTCTTAAGTCTTAAGTCTTAAAGAGAGACTCTGTGTACAAATCCAGTTTTAAGGCCTAAATTGTTTTAGGTTCTGTTGTATCCATTTCTTGTAAAGCTGTCATCTAGTTAGTTTTTCCTGTGTTAAGTAATTAATACACAGAAAAACCTTGAGTAAAGTCGTATTATTCAAAGATGGGAGCAACCAACATATAACTTCACTATTAGTGGAATTTACCTTTTTTTTCTGATTGTTCAGTCAAAAATGACAAAAATTGTGAAAAATGATAATTATTTCCCAAATGGCCAAAATGTCAAGTTTACTATCATAGAAAACTGGGAAACTATCAAATATTAATATTTGAGAAGCTGCTGTCAGTGAGTTTTTGGCATTTTTGCTTAAAAAATAACATAAACAATTAATCGGTTATCAACATTGCTGCCAGGTAATTATCTCTCTCATCTTGTTCTTTCTGAAGATCAAAGCTTTGCAAACAACAAGTAGGTTGGACTTTGTGTTTAGATTTCGTTCGATAGCTGCTCTTATGAGGGTCAAGAACGAACCTTGAAGCGCAAAAAGGAAACTGTGATCACTCTGATAGAAGAGCAGCTGTACAGTAGAGTGCTAACTTCAGTTCTCCTGTAGGTATCTGATTAGAATAACCCAAGATTGAGGCAAATATATTTTACTTTTTCTGATTTTTCAGGAATGTAAAATTGTCACTTTGACTTAGATTCAACCATTCAACCCAAAATACAAGAATATATGGTGTTAAATTCTTCCCTGACAGTATATCTACAGCTGTATTATAAGGAGGAGTTGTATAAAGATATGTTACTTTGGAGGAATGTTGAATCAGAAAGTTATTATTCATGACTGTAAAAAGATCAGTTTACTCACTGATGTTTAATTTTTTTATGTCTTGATATGAGCAGTTAATCACCTCTGTGTCTTGAAGCGAAGATTCAATACAGATCATATTCTTAAACCTTAATTATAAATAAATAAGAGTAGCTTTGCTTTTGTCACGTAAGGGAGAATTGTCAGTGACTTCACTGTAGCATGGGAAATATTTTAGAGATTACTCTGACTTGTATCTGTTCACTTCACTGTACTGCAGTAAACATGAGTCTCCACAGGCGCAGGAATCTCTCTCGGTTCACTTCATCTTGCCAAATATGTTTGTGTTCTGTTTTTGTTCTGTAAAGTCAAATAAACGATTTATCTGCATTGAAAAAGTTTGGAGGAGGATTTATTTTCCCCCCTCTTCAGACAGATTAAGTGAGGATCAGGGTTTGGGGGCGTGTTCTGCTGAAGCTCTGAAACTCAAGACAGTTTACAAAAGCCCTGTGTGTCATTCTTGAGGCCACTAGAGAGGACGCAGGAGCTGAAGAAGAAACACATGCTGTTAACTGTCTGACTGGATACAGTTTTCTTGTGAAGAGCTCAAATAAACAACAGGTAACTCAACTTAGTTTTACTGATCTTGTTTTTTCGATTTAATCAACAATCCATCGTGTTCAGATGGTGTTTTGGGTGGAAATGCTGGTGCGTAATTCATGCGTAAAAGCTGTGCGTAAAAGCTGTCCATCAATGACTTGATTTGTATTTTGTTTTCCTTTCAGCTTCAACGATGAGGACATCATCAGTGCTGATCTGTGCAGTGGTTCTGGTGCTGCTGCTCAGCCCGCTGAGGAGAACAGATGCTGCGACCTTTCAAAGCGCTTTGCCACATCCAAACAAATACAATCCAAATGAATCGGAGAGATGTCTACAACCCCCCATCGGCGGATTAATTTCCCGCGGGTCTGGGCCTGTAACCTCAACCGACGAAGTGCTGGAGTCCAGTCAGGAGGCGCTGCACGTCACGGAGCGTCGGTACCTGCGGCTGGACTGGTGCAAGACGCAGCCGCTCAAGCAAACCATCCGCGAGGAGGGCTGCCTGAGCCGCACCATCATCAACCGGTTTTGCTATGGACAGTGCAACTCCTTCTACATCCCGCGGCACATTTACCAGGACGGAAACGCCTTTGAGTCCTGCTCTGCCTGCAAACCCAAGACCTTCAGCACCGTCACGTACACCCTCTTCTGCCCGGGACAAACGCCAAGCACCAGGAAGAAACGGGTGCAGCGCGTAAAGCAGTGCCGCTGCACAACCATAGATACGGACTAGACGGAAACACACATGCTGGCAGATAGTATTCTCTTCCGCGGGAGGAAAAATGCAGCTTTGCAAAAATAGAAAAAAAAAAGGGAGAAGTTGCTTGGACACATGAGAATAAAGTGGTGAGGAACATACCTGAGCCTTTGTTATGGTTGTTACGGAAAGAGGATATTCAGCAATACACCACTACATTTGCTGATAGATAATAAACATAGGTGGTTGATTGAGGTGTCAGGTTCCCTTTAAGGTGATATTTTGACCTGCAACTATTAATTTATCACACTGAAAAAATATCTAGTCACTTCTCAGTCATTACTTCACAGTCTTTGTGTGTGTGTGTGTGTGTGTGTGTGTGTGTGTGTGTGTGTGTGTGTGTGTGTGTGTGTGTGTGTGTGTGTGTGTGTGTTAGTTAGAGGTTTTGTTGGCAGTGGGTTTTAGATGCAGGGACTTTGCCAAAGTTTCTCATGACCTTAAGCGCCAAAGCGCTTGGGTTTAAGCTAAATTCTTCATCGTGTCTTATTTCTTGTAGACATACAGGCTGGTGGACGTGCAAGACTTAGCAGGAAATGTAAGAGGACACATCTTCAAAGGACTTGGATGCTTTGATTGTTTCCACTGTGTGGGATGTAAAAGTCGAGGTCTTTCATGATATAAAAGATTTTCTTTTTTCTTTTTTTTCTACGACCTGCACTGCTGAATGCCACTTCATTTTACGACTGTGTATAATATGTGTATCATGTATTGTAATGATGCTTGTAAATAAAACATTTTTCAAGCTTTTACATCACCTTTTTTTTCCGATCAGTGATTTTTATTTGTGGAAAAATATGGTAAAAGATTATCGACTATACATCAGAATCAATGCAAAATGTAAGAGCAATGTAAGAATTTCTACACAGCTGAAGCTATCTCTGATGTCTACACATAAGATTCTTTCAATCTTTTAAATTTAAATACATTTAAGGAAGTAAATTATATGACGTAAAGCTGTCGGTTGAAGTATGAGTATTTCATGGAAATGAAAGAACAACAGGCAAATAAACTTGTTAAAAAAATGGTAAAAAGTTTACCAAGGAAATGTTGGTTTGGTATCAGGTTCCAAACTGATCCGAACAGAGAGCGACGCAGGAGAAGGTGGTTGTGTGGCTGAAATGACCAAGAAGTTAGAGATTTTATTCTTCCTCTCGTAAATTTGTTAAATTGCAGACATGTTGGCTTCTTTCTGACGCAGTCGCTCTTTCTGTTGGGAGCAAAACATGATCAGAATTAGATAAGATTGCCGCAGAATTTCTTTGTTTTTTCTTTTTACAAATTCTTCTAAACCACGGCGACAGAAAATAGCTGTTCAGTTTATGCTGTCAGTATAAAGGAATCTTTTCTCCTGATACACTGGACTTGGCACCACCTTGGATTAGGATGTTGAGGCGCTGATTTAGACCCTTTGAACACACTGATTGCTTCTTTAAGGCGTTTTATCTGCCGATGTGTTTCTGTGTTACTATAAATCCCGTCTCACCAGGCTGTTGGGGTTGATCTTTCTCGTTTCCACTTTCTTCTCCCCTGTGATTCTCTTCACTGACAGCTGAGCCTCCTTCAACCTGCAACAGCAAAGACTCGGGTTATTAATGCTGCAGCTTCTGACATGTGCATTCAAACTAAGTCTTTACACTCTTTATTACGTCAGAGGATCAGCTGATCAATCCTGCCTTGTGAGTTCACTTATGAATTCATGACAAATGAGTTTTTTTGTAACTACATTTCACAAACAGTGGTGACTCAAGACTCACTGAGCAATTTATTAGGAACACCATACTAACACTGGGTAGAGCCTCCCTTTTTCATGGATTCCACAAGATTTATTTGAGACTCTGCTCCATGTTGACATGATTGCATCGCATCATTTCTGCAGATTTATCCGCAGCACGTTTATGCTGCCAACCTCCTGTTCTACCACATCCCAAAGATGTTCCACTGGATTCAGATCTGGAGACTGGGGAGGCCACTGAAGTTCATTGATCTCACTGTCATGGTCATGAAACCAGTTTGAGACGACTTTTGTGACATGGTGCTTTATTGTGCTGGAAGTAGCCATTAGAAGATGGTAAACTGTGGCCATAAAGGGAAGCACATGGTCAGCAACAATACTCAGATAGGCTGTGGCATTCAAACCATGAGTGATTGGTATTAAGGGCCCCAAGATGTACAAAGAAAGCATTCTCGACACCATTACACCACCACTTTTTCTGCTGTAGCTCATCCACCTCAAGGTTCTCCTGTGACCTCTCGTCCACACGACGTTTCCACCTGCAGAACTGCTGCTCATGGATGCTTTTTGCTTTTGACTCCAATTCTGAGTAAAAACTCTAGAGATCAGAAATCGTCGAACCAGCACCAACCGTCACGCCACAGTTAAAGTCAGTGAGACCACATTTTCTCCCGACCTGTATCTGCAGGATTTCGTAAACTGCACTGCTGCTACACGATCTGATCTGATAACTGCATGACCGAGCAGATGTACAGGTGTTCCTAATAAAGTGCCCGCTGAGTGTACACAGACAACATTTACCTCTCTTTGGAGATGTTCTTGTTCTCCTTCTTCCACCTGGCTTTGAAGTCGGCACAAAACTCGAACCAGAGCATGAAGAAATGACCAGCAGTCACCTCCTTCTCTCCCGTCTTGGGCTTCAGTCCAAAGTACAGAACCAAGTCGTGAAAACTGAACAGCAAGTATAAAAAAAAGAGAGAATAAAAAACACCATTAACCAAGATGGAGATGTTCATTTATTTCAGTTAAATCTGACTTTCATCTAGAACCATTAGATGCTATCTTGATGTCTTGTTAGGCAGGATGTGATGACGTTTCAGGACGAGAAGAATCAGTGGCTCATTTAAAAAAAACAATATTATTACAACAGCCTGAACCAAGACTGAAAACTTCTCCACATCACAGTAGCTGTTACTACGCGTTCGTGGCCGCTGCTTCCTTGCTTTTGTTAAAGTGAGTTTACAAGATATTTCCATCTATCAAGTGATTTCTGCTGAAGCTTTAATATCAGAAATTATATCTTTAAATTTCAGAAGAAAGGCCAGGTGTGTTGCCCTCAAAGTGTCAACATGATGCGAGTCTCCGACCTTTTCTGCACAGTCATCAGCGATAGGAAGCTTCTGCGTGTTCTTTTCGTGCTGCAAAGAAACAAAACAAAGAAATTAGTTCAGTTGTAGCCAGAGCCCCCCCCACCCCCACCCCACCCCCACCAAAAAAATAAATAAATAGACAAGATTTATTACTTTAAAGAGTCATAATCCCTATGTAGAGTCTGTGGATGTAAATACTAGTAGGGACACAATGAGAACCTCTTATGTGATGATGACCTTGTCAGATGGAGCCAGACAACCATCAGGCTTCTTCAGGGCGGCAATTACACAGTCAGTTATTCAACAATGGAGCCATTCTTGCTGCCACTTTCAAATTGCAATGCCATTACGACAAAATAACAGGTACATTACCACCTGTGTCTGTCTCCCTGTAATGTTGTGGGATTCTCCTTTAAGACCCCCCCCCCACACACACACACACACACACACACACACAACAGCAAATTATTTAAGTTTTCTATTTGAAAGATCATTTTACTTTGTTCCAGTGCATCTTGGACCCATTTATCTCACTATTTTTATTCTTTTATAAAACTGTGATATTTATTTTTGCTACAATTGTGATGCTTGTCTTAAAAAAAAAAGAAAAATCTTGAAAAATGTTTTATTTTGTACCTTCTGCATTTTAAGAGGAAGAACTCAAATCAGACTAACTTCACATGTTCCCAATGATGCATAAAGGCTTGAAAAAACGTCTGTATGTCTTTAATGTTTTTATACCAAATGGAACAAATGGGATACAAGAGACAAAAGCTCTGACTTTAATAGATCCAGGGTCATCTGGACGGACTGTAGTCTCACTGCTCTTTAAGAGACATTTTGGGGTTTTTGAATTACAAACGAATCTTCATCATTTCAAAGGCTGGGCGTATGAGGCTCTCCTCTGCTGCAGGATGTGTTGTGAGTTACGTTGAGATGGGTCGTAAATATAAAAATCTTACAGCATGATGTGCCTGAGTTGGTTGAAAGAATATATTTTGCAAGGAAAGAGTCTCTGAGAAGTCCCAGTGCCTGTGTGTCTCAGGCAGGAGGCTCAGTCACTGCCAAATCTGTCTGATCCTTATCTGAGTGTCTAGCCTTTACTCCGAATCCACCCTATCTCTCTTGTGTACACACACACACACACACACACACACACACACACAGAGAGAGAGAGAGAGAGAGAGAGAGAGAGATACCAAAGACACAGCATGAGAAAGGAAAAGGGGCATTTTCAGGCCAGTAAGAGGATGACGAGCACATTTATCAGACTATGGAATAATTTAGAGGGACTATAGAGGAGAAAGTAAAAGTGAAGGAGAGCACAAGTGAACTACGTTTTCAGAAGGGTGTTTAAAAGATCTTAAAAATCTTCAGTTCAGCCACTAAAAACTCTTAAAAAGTCTTAAAATTTAGTGTTTTTTTTTCCAGAAGAGTTTTTCATAATTGAACTGAAGTAAACTCTGACGCCAGAACTGTCGTCATGCTCTTCTGTCATGTTACAAAAAGATAATAAATAATAATTTTATCTCTTTACTTGAAATAGATCGCCAAAAGAAACGTCACAATCTTAAATGTAACCCGGAGAAAAAGTCATTCTGAACAGGACCTGGGATCCAAGTGTGAATTATCGACACACCTGATTCTGTTTATTTTGCTTTTCAGGGAGAGAATACATGTTAATAAGAGAACACACAACTCGCTCCTGTGTTGGCAACACAAAACACTAATCTTCCCAAACTACCGACATGCTAAAAGTCACACAGAGGTTTAGTGACACGACAGTACGTGACTGTCAAACTCACCACTGAGAACAAAAGCCTCCATCTTGTCTTTGAACGGCTGCAGGTGTTCTTCAGGAGACTCCGAGCAAACCCTCTGTACATCTTTCTCACATCCTGAAAGACAGAGGCGACGCAATGATCGACTATTCAACTGCTTTGATCATGAGAAATGTTTTAATATTCAGCGTTAGGACTCAGTCTCTGGCCAGAATGTGAAGCATGACATTATGAACCGTTTGCAGAGACAAAGAGCTAAACAGTGAACAACTAGAAATCCCAGGAAGGAAGATATTATTACAGTACTGGACAAGTGATACCTGGGAAATGCAGTGCAGAGGCACCACAGCAACAAAAACTGAAAGTCTCAAAGAACAAAAAAAAAAAAAATGAAACAAAACAACACAACCTGCATGATCCTGTCTCATTCTGAGTCATTATAAATCCACACAGAATAAAAGCAGACTTTCAGGGAC